TCTCTCTCTCTCTCTCTCTCTCTCTCTCTCTCTCTCTCTCTCTCTCTCTCTCTCTCTCTCTCTCTCTCTCTCTCTCTCTCTCTCTCCCCCTCTATCTATCTATCTATCTATCTATCTATCTCTATCTCTCTATCTCTATCTCTATCTCTCTATCTCTATCTCGCTCTCTCTCGCTCTCTCTCACACACACACACACACATACACACACACACACACACGCACACACAAACACGCGCGCGCGCGATGCCTCTCCTGCGCAAAGATTCGCGCACGCGCGATCACAAAAAAACACGCTCACCTGCACACATGAGAGAAAAAATATATATAATAAATAAAGAGAACAAGAAACAGAACTACATCCCATGTACGTAGCCTACGTACTTGTCTGCATGGCTATCCTACGTACGAATAACTACGTCGACTAGGTACATGACTGAACGGCTCTCCTACGTTCATGCTACATAATACGGAATATATTAACTACGTGCTAAGTCCGGAGATGAAGTACATGACTAGTAGGTAAACTAGTGACTGCAGAGTGTATAATTTACGTCGACTAGGTACATGCCCGCATGGCTATCCTATACTACAAACTACGTAGTATTTTAACTACGTACCAAGTCCGGGGACTAAGCCCGTGGCTAGTCTATTAACTAGGTAGGTTCTAGTGCTAAACAGCATATAACTACGTCGAGTAGGTACATGACTGCATGCCTATCTTACGTACATAGCACATACTACGTACAACATAGTACATTAGCTACGTGCTAAGTCCGGCGACCAAGTACGTGGCTAGTATATTACCTACGTACGACATACTACATTAACTACGTGCGGAGTCCGGTGACTAAGTACATGACTAGAATATTACCTACGTACTACATAGTATATAACTACGTCGACCGCCTAGGTTCATGGCTGCATGGCCAGTACATTAACTACTGCTAAGCCGGGGGTGCTTATACTACGTAAGTACGTCCACTAGGTACATGTCTGCATGGCTATCCTACGTACATAGTACGTGGTACAAACTACAAAGTACGTTACCGACGTGACGACGTGCCAAGTCCGGAGACTAAGCGCATGGCGAGTGTGGACTCCGTGCATGGCTATAGAGTCTATAGACCGTATCCACGTGCAACACTCGACGTGTGCAAGCTGCATGTACATAGACGTTCTTCGTGACCAGGAATATGCACGCCGCTAGGCGCGTAAAAGGCTGGCTGTGTGCATAGCCCAGTCGTAGTCTATATGCACATAGACGATACTATGTGAAACGGATACGCACGGCTGGCTGTGTGCATAGTCCAGTCGCAGAATACAATGTACATAGACGATACTTCGACGAGACATTGTGAGCGGGTACGAGCATACTTCAGTCGTAGTCCATACGTACATGGACGATACGAGGAGTATGTGAGAGACAATGTACGAAAGCTTTGCGAGCGACTCTAATACGCACGCACACACAAGGACTATGCGTCCCATGCGGATATGTATTGAATAACTGATCTGGCTTACACACACACCTGCATGGCACGTCGGCTATGGACGCGGGCATATAAACGGCCGATACGGAATAGATATACACTCTCCCTACATAGACACACTAAGCGCACGGCATGGAACTAATCAGTAATGAATGAACAAACACGGGTCAGTAAATGTATAGACCTAGATGTCTCCCCATGGCTGCATTCTATCCTGCAGATATGGACTATAGCTCTGAACACCGCTATGTATGGGTATAGGTAGGGGTGTAGGTATGAATATAGGTAAGGCTATGGGTGTGGCCTATAGCCAGGAAATGTGGTGGGTACAGGCAGGGAGTCCACGGACCTA